GGGGTCACCCCATCGGCAGGAACATCCTCCTAATAATGCTTTCTCTGCCGGCCGGTTCCCTGCCCTCCTTTGGCATTTAGGTTCACCATGCTCAGCTGTTGCAGGTTTGCTGTCCAAATGCAGAGGGAAAAGAGAGATTTCACTGTGAGCTGAGCAGGCCACTACTATCTTCAAATGGCCAATTTCAGTTTTTAAGAGGAAGGCAGCAGGGAGAAAGAGAGGCGGGAGTCGGGAGTTGGGAGCTGTGCGAAGAGAACACGGGGTATGTGTGGGGGGGTTCTGCCATCTCAGCTGACTTGGATCTAACAGGATCTGTCTACTCCAGCCTCTGTTGTGGCCACTCTCTGCCCCTCAAGGGTAAAATGCCACCTCCTAGGGAGCGTCTTTGTGCCCTGCCCTGGCCAGAGCCACCAGCGCCCGCCTCCAGCTCAGACAAGAATCAAGTCTTGTGCTGGCAAGCTTTCCTCCGCCGGCCACCAGAGCTGAGTGTGGGCTGTCAGCCGGCTGGAGGCTCCTGCTCAAGCCTGGGATTTACACAAACACTTCAAACCACACTGAGGGTCCAGGGAAAATATTCTCACCCCCATCTCTTCTCCAGGTGCACAGTGACCCATCTAAGGCCTCCAGAACCCAAAGGCCACAGATGGCAGGATTTGCCCCCCCCACCCCCCACCCACGAATATGAAATACCAGCAAACAAAAGTCTCATCCAAATTAGGAAGCGAGCAGCTCTGTCTGCCTGGGAGTGTGTCGTGGGGGCTGTTTCAGGTTTCTGGCTTTCCCTGTGGGTCCCTTCAAATCCACAATGCTGTCAAGACTTAAGCTGTTGCTGACCCCAACTCAGAGTGCTGGGCCATCCTGTCACTGCACGCCCGTCCCCAAAACTAAAATGCTGCTGTGCATGCACCCCTTGCTCAGAGCCCCGGGCTGGCTCCAGCCTTGGCGCTCCTATCAGTCATGCTGGAGTTGCAGGCAGCAGCTCAGAACCAGCTTTGCTCTGGGGAGCCATGGCTGGGGGTGCCATGTGTAGGCTTTGTCAGACAGATCAGAGATGCCAGAACTCTGGCACTTACTCCCCACCAATGGAGCATGCCCCCAAGGACCCTGAGCAGGAGACCTACACTATGACAGGGGAACAGGGGCCACAGGCGGCAGGCTGTATGCAGTCATCAAGGTCGAGGCTGCACGGACTGGCAGTGGCCCCTTCTTCCCCACCTCTACCTTCACTTACCTTCTTGGGAGAGGATGATGAACTTGGTGGTCTTGAGTGTCTTTCCATTCAGCGTCCAGGTGATGGTGGCCGGGGGGTCAGAGGACACCTGGCACTGGAGTAGCAGCTTCTCACCCTCTGCCACATGCACATCATGTAGCTTCTCCTTGAAGGTTGGGGCTGTACCTTGGCTCTCTGGTCTTTTCTCTCCATCCGTGCCTCCTGCAAGCCCTTTCTTGCAGTTCACATCATTCTTAACCTCCTTCTTGAGTTCTTCTTTCCCAGCTGGTTTCAGGGCCTCATCAGGCTTGGCACTGCCCATAGATTTTGGGGTCTCAGCAAGCTTGGCATTGGCCACAGGCTTCAGGGTCTCAGCAGGCTTGGCATTGGCCACAGGCTTCAGGGTCTCAGCAGGCTTGGCATTGGCCATGGGCTTCAGGGCCTCAGAAGGCTTGGCATTGCTCACAGATTTCAGGGTCTCAGCAGGCTTGGCGTTGGCCACAGGCTTGGGTGTCTCAGCAAGCTTGGCATTGACCACAGGTTTCAGGGTCTCAGCAGGTTTGGTGTTGCCCATGGGTTTCAAGGACCCTGAAGGTTGGGCATTGGCCACAGGCTTGGGACTTTCTGCTGCCTTGGCATTTAAGGCCTCAGCACCGCTGCTACCATTCTCTGCTGGTAACTTCTTCTTGCTACCCAGCACTGAGCGAAAATCTGGTGTGGCAGGTTTCGGAGGTGGTACCTTTTCAGGCACTGGGGTCTTGGGAGTCCCCTTCTTGGCCAGCACAGAACGGAAATCGACCTGCTGGGGGCTATGTACCTTCCTCTCTTCCTCAGACACAGTCTTTGGCTTCACTTGCCGCTGTAGGTTGGCACGGAAATCCATCTGCTCAGCTGGGATCTCCTTCAGGTCTTCTTCTGACACGGTCTTGGTGCTCACCTTCTTCCCCAGGAGGTCACGGAAGTCCAGCTGCTCCACCTCCTGCTGGCGAATCGCCTCCTCTGTGTGCTGCCTGGTCTCCACACGCCTCTTCAGCACCCCCCGCACGTCCTCGCCGTCTTCCTCCTCTGGCCAACCCTGCCCTCTTGCTGGCCAGCAGGGCCTCAGGGTCCCATAGCGGTCACCACCTCCACCATCGGCACCAACTCCTCCACCACAGAGGCCCTCACAGCTGGCAGGCTCCCTCCCCCTGCAACCAGTGAAGGGAAAAAGGAAAGTAGCAGGAGGAAAAGGGGCTGGGTAAGAGAAACGTCAGGGGAGAGCAAATCCCTGAGGGTGGAAGGCGGGGGGGAGAGGGGAGGGGGAGGGCGGT